CCCATGATCAACAGATGGTTGGAATAGTTCCACTGGAAACATTAAACACACAGCCAGATATTTTAAAGAGAAGTATAGTCAAAGCTTTTTTGGTCATTCTTCTCTTCTGGGTCACAGGAGTGCACTTACGTTTGCTCTCTGTGACACAGAATCAGCTGACAGCAGACTTTACATTACAGACCTGCTTCAGGCTCTGCAAGGATCCCAGCAATATTGTCGGGATCCACCTGAATGCCTGATTGGCAGCTGGCTTGGCATCTCAGCTCGTGGCTGAGAGCCAGAGCCAGTGGCTCCTGCCCCAACCCAGTGAGAACTAGTGGGGCAGAGCAGAGAGTGCTGACTGACAATCACTGCTCTCAGCTCCTAGTGGACCGAGAACTGAGTGATCAGTGGCCATGTGATCACTCAGTTGTTCTTAGTGCCAGAAAGGGACAGCTGCAGCATCATGAGTACGTGTGTTTGTTTTTTTCTAATCCCATACTTCTCCTTTTACACAAGGTATAAAGGTTAAATAGTCATTTTGCTGTAAAGCAGTAGACAACTAGATAAACTGGACCTAAACATTGACATGATCTACAACATTGGTGTGTTTTTTTTTTTTTTTTTCCAAATTGTGGAAGGAAGAAAGGATGTAATAAGTCAGTATTTTCCAGCAGTGAAGTCTTTAAAATTGCTTTGTAAGCTTTTTCGGCTATACAAATGTTTCTAGGTATAGCCTTATCCTTGTAGCAGAAAGATTGAGCTTTAGATCAAACCTGATACTCTCATAGTGTTTGAAATGCCCTTTGTCCATCCAGATGTGATTTTATCGTACATAACACTGAAACACTGACATGAAAAGGGATTGCTTCCCATAATAATGGTTCTTGTCTCACCTGCTGGAGCAATATACACATTTCCTCTGTTATCTTACCTACCATTATGTGACTGGAGAAAGATGTCTTTTTATGACATCTATATGTCATTTCACACTAGAAAATAGATTGCAGCAAAATGGAAACAACTTGAAAGAAATGGTTTATTTCTGGGTATTTGTTTTACTGTGGAATTAAACAGGAACTCCAGGCAAACGGCTTTATAAGCAATTAAAATATATGCACGCTAATTGTTTTATATGCCAAAGGATTTGAGATTCTGTTTAGTCAACTTTGTAACTTGCCCACACATTTGTCACAGTGTACATCCAAGATTCAACATTCACACTATACTTTGTTGGATTAGCAAGGTATGGAGCAAGTTCTCTAGAAAGGATGAATCAGGTATGAGGATTAGAGATGAGCGAATCGAAGTAGGCTAAGTGGAATTCAAGTCGAATATTGGAAAATTTTCGATTCGCGCCGAATCCAAAAAATAGCCTACTTCGGACGCGCGAATCGAAATTTTTCCTATAAATAGCGGCCATTTTAGAATTCTTCATTTGCCTCCAGTCATTCAAGAGAGGCAGACCGCTCTGTATTAGGGACAGAGTTAGGGCCACAGAAACGTTACTTGGGAACAGACAGAGAAACGTTACTTAGGGACAGAGAAGCATTACTCAGGGACACAGAATTGTTAATGAGGGCCACAGAATCGTTACTTAGGGCCAAAGAAACGCTAGTTAGGGCCACAGAATTGTTACTCAGGGACAGACAGAATTGTTACTGAGTGCCAGAGAATTGTTACTTAGGGACACAGAAACGTTAGTTAGGGCCACAGAATTGTTACTCAGGGACAGACACAGAATTGTTACTGAGGGCCACAGAACTGTTACTTAAGGCCACAGAAACGTTAGTTAGGGCCACAGAATTGTTACTCAGGGACAGGGACAGACAGAATTGTTACTGAGTGCCAGAGAATTGTTACTTAGGGCCACAGAAACGTTAGATAGGGCCACAGAATTGTTACTCAGGGACAGACACAGAATTGTTACTGAGGGCCACAGAACTGTTACTTAGGGCCACAGAAACGTTAGTTAGGGCCACAGAATTGTTACTCAGGGACAGACAGAATTGTTACTGAGGGCACAGAACTGTTACTTAGGGCCACAGAAACGTTAGTTAGGGCCACAGAATTGCTACTTGGACAGACACAGAATTGTTACTGAGGGCCACAGAATTGTTACTGAGGGCCACAGAACCGTTACTTAGGGCCACAGAATTGTTACTCAGGGACACAGAATTGTTACTGAGGGCCACAGAACCGTTACTTAGGGCCACAGAATTGTTACTCAGGGACAGACACAGAATTGTTACTCAGGGACACAGAATTGTTACTGAGGGCCACAGAACCGTTACTTAGGGCCACAGAATTGTTACTCAGGGACACAGAATTGTTACTGAGGGCCACAGAACCGTTACTTAGGGCCACAGAATTGTTACTCAGGGACACAGAATTGTTACTTAGGGCCACAGAAACGTTACTCAGGGACACAGAATTGTTACTGAGGGCCACAGAACCGTTACTTAGGGCCACAGAATTGTTACTCAGGGACAGACACAGAATTGTTACTCAGGGACACAGAATTGTTACTCTAGAGGGCCACAGAACCGTTACTTAGGGCCACAGAAACGTTACTCAGGGACACAGAATTGTTACTGAGGGCCACAGAACCGTTACTTAGGGCCACAGAATTGTTACTCAGGGACAGACACAGAATTGTTACTGAGGGACACAGAATTGTTACTGAGGGCCACAGAACCGTTACTTAGGGCCACAGAAACGTTAATCAGGGACACAGAATTGTTACTGAGGGCCACAGAACCATTTACTTAGGGCCACAGAATTGTTACTCAGGGACAGACACAGAATTGTTACTGAGGGACACAGAATTGTTACTGAGGGCCACAGAACCGTTACTTAGGGCCACAGAATTGTTACTCAGGGACAGACACATAATTGTTACTCAGGGACACAGAATTGTTACTGAGGGCCACAGAACCGTTACTTAGGGCCACAGAATTGTTACTCAGGGACACAGAACTGTTACTGAGGGACACAGAACCGTTACTTAGGGCCACAGAATTGTTACTCAGGGACAGACACAGAATTGTTACTCAGGGACACAGAATTGTTACTGAGGGCCACAGAACCGTTACTTAGGGCCACAGAAACGTTACTCAGGGACAGACACAGAATTCTTACTCAGGGACAGACACAGAATTCTTACTCAGGGACAGACACAGAATTGTTACTGAGGGACACAGAATTGTTACTGAGGGACACAGAATTGTTACTGAGGGGCCACAGAATTGTTACTCAGGGACACAGAATTGTTACTCGGGACACAGAATTGTTACTGAGGGACACAGAATTGTTACTGAGGGACACAGAATTGTTACTCAGGGACAGACACAGAATTGTTACTCAGGGACAGACACTGAATTGTTACTAAGGGACAGACAGAATTGTTACTGAGGGCCACAGAAATTGTTACTTAGGGCCACAGAAACGTTACTCAGGGACACAGAATTGTTACTCAGGGACAGACACAGAATTGTTACTCAGGGACAGACACAGAATTGTTACTGAGGGACACAGAATTGTTACTGAGGGCCACAGAACCGTTACTTAGGGCCACAGAAACGTTACTCAGGGACAGACACAGAATTGTTACTCAGGGACAGACAGAAGAATTGTTACTGAGGGACACAGAATTTTTACTGAGGGACACAGAATTGTTACTGAGGGACACAGAATTGTTACTCAGGGACACAGAATTGTTACTGAGGGCCACAGAACCATTACTTAGGGCCACAGAATTGTTACTCAGGGACAGACACAGAATTGTTACTCAGGGACACAGAATTGTTACTGAGGGCCACAGAACCGTTACTTAGGGCCACAGAATTGTTACTCAGGGACAGACACAGAATTGTTACTCAGGGACACAGAATTGTTACTGAGGGACACAGAATTGTTACTGAGGGCCACAGAATTGTTACTCGAGGGACACAGAATTGTTACTGAGGGACACAGAATTGTTACTGAGGGACAGACACAGAATTGTTACTGAGGGCCACAGAACTGTTACTTAGGGCCACAGAACTGTTACTTAGGGCCACAGAAACGTTACTCAGGGACACAGAAACGTTACTGAGGACACACACAGAATTGTTACTGAGGGACACAGAATTGTTACTCAGGGACAGACACAGAATTGTTACTCAGGGCCACAGAATTGTTACTGAGGGCCACAGAACTGTTACTTAGGGCCACAGAAACTGTTACTTAGGGACACAGAATTGTTACTCAGGGACTCAGAATTGTTACTCAGGGACACAGAATTGTTACTGAGGGACACAGAATTGTTACTGAGGGACACAGAATTGTTACTGAGGGCCACAGAACTGTTACTTAGGGCCACAGAACTGTTACTTAGGGCCACAGAAACGTTACTCAGGGGACACAGAATTGTTACTCAGGGACACAGAATTGTTACTGAGGGACACAGAATTGTTACTGAGGGCCACAGAACTGTTACTTAGGGCCACAGAACTGTTACTTAGGGCCACAGAAACGTTACTCAGGGACACAGAATTGTTACTCAGGGACACAGAATTGTTACTGAGGGACACAGAATTGTTACTGAGGGACACAGAATTGTTACTGAGGGACACAGAATTGTTACTCAGGGACAGACACAGAATTGTTACTGAGGGCCACAGAACTGTTACTTAGGGCCACAGAACTGTTACTTAGGGCCACAGAAACGTTACTCAGGGGACACAGAATTGTTACTCAGGGACACAGAATTTGTTACTGAGGGACACAGAATTGTTACTCAGGGACAGACACAGAATTGTTACTGAGGGCCACAGAACTGTTACTTAGGGCCACAGAACTGTTACTTAGGGCCACAGAAACGTTACTCAGGGACACAGAATTGTTACTCAGGACACAGAATTGTTACTGAGGGACACAGAATTGTTACTCAGGGACAGACACAGAATTGTTACTGAGGGCCACAGAACTGTTACTTAGGGCCACAGAACTGTTACTTAGGGCCACAGAAAACGTTACTCAGGGACACAGAATTGTTACTCAGGGACACAGAATCGTTTAATTAAAGAGTATGTCAGACAACATGCAGAGGAGTGGCAGAGGAGGCAATGTTTTAGGAGCGAGCAGACGTGGCAGCAGAGGAAGGGGTCGAGGCAGCACTATTCGCAGCCAGAGGCTAGTGCTCCCGGTGTCATTCAGTACAGTGAGGAAGAGCTAACAGAGGGCGGTCAGGAACGGGGGGAGACATCCGCCTCTTCAGCAGCCAGGCGAAGAAGTAGTGGCGAGGAGAGTGGCTCGGTAGCCGGTGTAGAGACAGGTCTGTCTCCTGACCCACACGCAGCCGAGGGGGCTAGTAGTGAGGCGGAGACCCTAATTGATGATGATGAGGCTGATCGCACTTGGCAGCCTCGTCGTCATCAGGCTATTGCTTCCGCATCATCAGGAGAAGAGGGTGGCAGCTTGGCAGCGAGCAAAACAGTCGGTGGGTTGTCTCCATCGCCACACTCTGCCATGTGCCACTTTCAGATCTCCTCACACACTGCTGGTGTGTTGAATTTTTTGACATAGGGTGCTGGCAGATTACGGGCCTCCCATAGCTGCTGCCAGGCCCCTAATCTGCCATGGGCCCCTATACCGCCTCCTCATGCTGCTGCCAGGTCCACAGTCTCTCATGCCATGTGCCACTTTCAGGTCTCCTCACACTGCTGGTGTGTTGAATTTTTTGACATAGGGTGCTGGCAGATTACGGGCCTCCCATAGCTGCTGCCAGAGCCCCTAATCTGCCATGGGCCCCTATATACCGCCTCCTCATGCTGCTGCCAGGTCCAGAGTCTGTCATGGGTCCCTGTACGGCCTCCCATTGCTGCTGTCTCCATCGCCACACTCTGCCATGTGCCACTTTCAGGTCTCCTCACACACACTGCTGGTGTGTTGAATTTTTTGACATAGGGTGCTGGCAGATTACGGGCCTCCCATAGCTGCTGCCAGGCCCCTAATCTGCCATGGGCCCCTATATACCTACCGCCTCCTCATGCTGCTGCCAAGTCCAGAGTCTGTCATGGGTCCCTGTACGGCCTCCCATTGCTGCTGTCTCCATCGCCACACTCTGCCATGTGCCACTTTCAGGTCTCCTCACACACTGCTGGTGTGTTGAATTTTTTGACATAGGGTGCTGGCAGATTACGGGCCTCCCATAGCTGCTGCCAGGCCCCTAATCTGCCATAGGCCCCTATATACCGCCTCCTCATGCTGCTGCCAAGTCCAGAGTCTGTCATGGGTCCCTGTACGGCCTCCCATTGCTGCTGTCTCCATCGCCACACTCTGCCATGTGCCACTTTCAGGTCTCCTCACACACTGCTGTTGTGTTTCAATTTTTTGACATAGGGTGCTGGTAGATTACGGGCCTCCCATAGCTGCTGCCAGGCCCCTAATCTGCCATGGGCCCCTATATACCCCTGCCCTTCCTCATGCTGCTGCCAAGTCCAGAGTCTGTCATGGGTCCCTGTACGGCCCTCCCATTGCTGCTGTCTCCATCGCCACACTCTGCCATGTGCCACTTTCAGATCTCCTCACACACTGCTGGTGTGTTGAATTTTTTGACATAGGGTGCTGGCAGATTACGGGCCTCCTATAGCTGCTGCCAGGCCCCTAATCTGCCATAGGCCCCTATATACCACCTCCTCATGCTGCTGCCAAGTCCAGAGTCTCTCATGGGTCCCTGTACGGCCTCCCATTGCTGCTGTCTCCATCGCCACACTCTGCCATGTGCCACTTTCAGGTCTCCTCACACACTGCTGTTGTGTTCAATTTTTTGACATAGGGTGCTGGCAGGCGATTACGGGCCTCCCATAGCTGCTGCCAGGCCCCTAATCTGCCATGGGCCCCTATATACCGCCTCCTCATGCTGCTGCCAAGTCCAGAGTCTGTCATGGGTCCCTGTACGGCCTCCCATTGCTGCTGTCTCCATCGCCACACTCTGCCATGTGCCACTTTCAGGTCTCCTCACACACTGCTGTTGTGTTCAATTTTTTGACATAGGGTGCTGGCAGATTACGGGCCTCCCATAGCTGCTGCCAGGCCCCTAATCTGCCATGGGCCCCTATATACCGCCTCCTCATGCTGCTGCCAAGTCCCAGAGTCTGTCATGGGTCCCTGTACGGCCTCCCATTGCTGCTGTCTCCATCGCCACACTCTGCCATGTGCCACTTTCAGATCTCCTCACACACTGCTGGTGTGTTGAATTTTTTGACATAGGGTGCTGGCAGATTACGGGCCTCCTATAGCTGCTGCCAGGCCCCTAATCTGCCATAGGCCCCTATATCCACCCGCCTCCTCATGCTGCTGCCAAGTCCAGAGTCTCTCATGGGTCCCTGTACGGCCTCCCATTGCTGCTGTCTCCATCGCCACACTCTGCCATGTGCCACTTTCAGGTCTCCTCACACACACTGCTGTTGTGTTCAATTTTTTTGACATAGGGTGCTGGCAGATTACGGGCCTCCCATAGCTGCTGCCAGGCCCCTAATCTGCCATGGGCCCCTATATACCGCCTCCTCATGCTGCTGCCAAGTCCAGAGTCTGTCATGGGTCCCTGTACGGCCTCCCATTGCTGCTGTCTCCATCGCCACACTCTGCCATGTGCCACTTTCAGGTCTCCTCACACACTGCTGTTGTGTTCAATTTTTTGACATAGGGTGCTGGCAGATTACGGGCCTCCCATAGCTGCTGCCAGGCCCCTAATCTGCCATGGGCCCCTATATACCGCCTCCTCATGCTGCTGCCAAGTCCAGAGTCTGTCATGGGTCCCTGTACGGCCTCCCATTGCTGCTGTCTCCATCACCACACTCTGCCATGTGCCACTTTCAGGTCTCCTCACACACTGCTGGTGTGTTGAATTTTTTGACATAGGGTGCTGGCAGATTACGGGCCTCCCATAGCTGCTGCCAGGCCCCTAATCTGCCATAGGCCCCTATATACCGCCTCCTCATGCTGCTGCCAAGTCCAGAGTCTCTCATGGGTCCCTGTACGGCCTCCCATTGCTGCTGTCTCCATCGCCACACTCTGCCATGTGCCACTTTCAGGTCTCCTCACACACTGCTGGTGTGTTGAATTTTTTGACATAGGGTGCTGGCAGATTACGGGCCTCCTATAGCTGCTGCCAGGCCCCTAAATCTGCCATAGGCCCCTATAATACCGCCTCCTCATGCTGCTGCCAGGTCCAGAGTCTGTCATGGGTCCCTGTACGGCCTCCCATTGCTGCTGTCTCCATCGCCACACTCTGCCATGTGCCACTTTCAGGGCTCTCCTCACACACTGCTGGTGTGTTGAATTTTTTTGACATAGGGTGCTGGCAGATTACGGGCCTCCCATAGCTGCTGCCAGGCCCCTAATCTGCCATGGGCCCCTATATACCGCCTCCTCATGCTGCTGCCAAGTCCAGAGTCTGTCATGGGTCCCTGTACGGCCTCCCATTGCTGCTGTCTCCATCGCCACACTCTGCCATGTGCCACTTTCAGGTCTCCTCACACTGCTGGTGTGTTGAATTTTTTGACATAGGGTGCTGGCAGATTACGGGCCTCCCATAGCTGCTGCCAGGCCCCTAATCTGCCATGGGCCCCTATACCGCCTCCTCATGCTGCTGCCAGGTCCAGAGTCTCTCATGGGTCCCTGTACGGCCTCCCATTGCTGCTGTCTCCATCGCCACACTCTGCCATGTGCCACTTTCAGGTCTCCTCACACTGCTGGTGGGTTCCATTTTGTCATAGGGTGCTGACAGATTACGGGCCTCCCATTGCTGCTGCCAGGCCTGTAATCTGCCATGGGCCTCCGTACCGCCTGGTCACGCTGCTGCTGGGTCCACAGTGTGACATGGGTCCCTGTACCCGCCTCCCATTGCTCCCACTCTGCCATGTGCCACTTTGAGGTCTCCTCACACTCCTGCTGGTTTCCATTTTGTCATAGGTTGCTGTATGGCCTCCCATTGCTGCTGCCTCCACCCACGCCACACTGTGGCTCCAAACACTGGTTTTGGCCCCGTGACTGGCCAAATGAGTGAAGTGTGCGGTGATTCTAAGATCGACGGCACTCATCTGCATGTCATACTGACTGACAGTATTATTTCTCTTCCCCTGCAGACTCCAAGGGCATTTAAATTAAAGGTACAGTGTTCTGCACTAATATTAAGTCTCTCTGAAGCCTAGAAACACCCTTTTTTAAGTTAAATTCACAGCGAATATATTCGACTCGAATCGAATATTGTCCACGAATTCGCCGAATCAGTCGAATCGAATTTTTGAATACTTCGCTCATCTCTAATGAGGATTATCATGTCCTATTTCAGACTGCACAAGCAAATTAGAAATATTGTCCAAAGACAATGGCACTTTCTTGCTACAGATTCATCTGTGGGAAAAATGTGTCCTAACTAGACCATTGATTACGTTCAAGAGAGCTCCATCAGTTAGGGATAAACTGATTCACAGTAATTATCAGGACTGTGAGAAAGGGAACCCATGTAACATTTTGGGCATGTGGCAACTGTAATTTTTGCAAGTTTACAAATATAACAAATATTTAGACTCCTTAATGACAAAATGTATTCACCACATCATTTTGTTGATTGTCGTACAAAGGGGTGCTTTACCTACTTTACCTGTTATTTTTTTACTTTGGTAAAGGAAAGAGAAAGTGGTAGAAGAAGATCCACTATTACCTAATAGAAATTTTAAATTGTCATTTAATAAACATATAATGTTTTATCGATGCAAAAGAAATAGGTACAGTATCTCACAGAAGTGAGTACACCCTCACATTTTTGGAAATATTTTATTATATCGTTTCATGTGACAACACTGAAGAAATGACACTTTGCTACAATGTAAAGTAGTGAGTGTACAGCTTGTATAACAGTGTAAATTTACTATCCCCTCAAAATAACTCAACACACAGCCATTAATGTCTAAACCACTGGCAACAAAAGTGAGTACACCCCTAAGTGAAAATGTCCAAATTGGTCCCAATTAGTCATTTTCCCCTCCCTGGTGTCATGTGACACATTAGTGTTACAAGGTCTCAGGTGTGAATTGGGAGCAGGTGAGGTAAATTTGGTGTTATTGCTCTCACTCTCTCATACTGGTCACTGGAAGTTCAACATGGCACCTCATAGCAAAGAAACTCTCTGAGGATCTGAAAGAAAGAATTGCTCTACATACAAGATGGCTTAGGCTATAAGAAGATTGCCAAGACCCTGAAACTGAGCTGCAGCATGTTGGCCAAGACCATACAGCGGTTTAACAGGACAGGTTCCACTCAGAGACAGGCCTCACCATGGTCGACCAAAGAAGTTGAGTGCAAGTGCTCAGCGTCATATCCAGAGGTTGTCTTTGGGAAATAGACGTATGAGTTCTGCCAGCATTGCTGCAGAGGTTGGAGGGGTGGGGGGGTCAGCCTGTCAGTGCTCAGACCATATGCTGCACACTGCATCAGATTGGTTTGCATGGCTGTTGTCTCAGAAGGAAGCCTCTTCTAAAAGATGATGCACAAGAAAGCCTGCAAACAGTTTTGCTGAAGACACACAGACTAAGGACATGGATTACTGGAACCATGTCCTGTGGTCTGATGACACCAAGATAAACTTATTTGGTTCAGATGGTATCAAGCGTGTGTGGCGGTAACCAGGAGAGGAGTACAAAGACAAGTGTGTCTTCCTACAGTCAAGCATGGTGGTGGGAGTGTCATGGTCTGGGGCTGCATGAGTGCTGCTGGCACTGCGGAGCTACAGTTTATTGAGGGAACCATGAATTCCAACATGTACTGTAACATACTGAAGCAGAGCATGATCCCCTCCCTTCAGAGACTGGGCCGCAGGACAGTATTCCTACATGATAACAACCCCAAAAATACCTCCAAGACAACCACTGCCTTTCTAAAGAAGTTGAGGGTAAAGGTGATGGACTGGCCAAGCATGTCTACAGACTTAAACCCTATTGAGCATCTGTGGGGAGTCCTCAAATGGAAGGTGGAGGAGCGCAAGGTCTCTAACATCCACTAGCTCCGTGCTGTTGTGAAGGAGGAGTGGAAGAGGACTCCAGTGGCAATCTGTGAAGCTCTGGTGAACTCCATGCCCAAGAGGGTTAAAGCAGTGCTGGAAAATAATGGTGGCCACACAAAAATATTGACACTTTGGGCCCAATTTGGACATTTTCAGTTAGGGGTGCACTCACTTTTGTTGCCAGCAGTTTAGACATTAATGGCTGTGTGTTGAGTTATTTTGAGGGAACAGCAAATTTACACTGTTATACAAGCTGTACACTCACTACTTTACATTGTAGCAAAGTGTAATTTCTTCAGTGTTGTCACATGAAAAGATAGAATAAAATATTTACAAAAGTGTGAGGGGTGCACTCACTTCTGTGAGATACTGTATGTGTGTGCATGTAGACATGTCTTTTATGCCAGTGAAATCCACATACATATACCCCAAAGTTGGGGGATTTTTGCCCTTTTCATTATATATACATTTTATTTTTGTTTGATATTCTCCTGGGTTCTGTTGCTGATCATGCATTTTTAGGATTTAATGTATCTTAAATGACAAGTTTATTGGCACAGATGGATTGTAAATACATACTGGCACCAATAGAAAAGTGTCAGAACACACAGCGTATAGCAGTCTTGATTTATTCGGTCTTGATGGCTGTAGGTTGGTCATATTTCCTTATGGCAGTGGCCTCTTTCTGCAGGATGATGAGCCCTGTCACACTGAAAAAATGGTTCAAAAATGTTTTGAGGAACACAACAATGAGTTTGAGGTAATGACTTGGCTTCTAAATTCTCTCTATGGGCATGTACTGGAAAAACAATCTGTGGGCATGTACTGGAAAAAAAATCTGATCCATGGAGGACCCACCTTGCAACTTACAGGATCTGCCACTGGCTTAAAGGACCTTCTGTGGCTTGGTGTCGGATACCACAGCATACTTTGAAAGGTCTAGTGGAGGCCATATTTCTCCTGGTAAGGGATGTTTTGGTGGCAAAAGTGGGACCTACTCACTTTTAGGTGGATGGTCATGGTGTTATATAGGTATATATTTACGTTAAAGCCTTTGTACAACCAGCACTGCCGGGATTGCATGCAGTAGACAGTGACAGGAATTTGAAGCAAATGCAACACTGTAAACTTTTTAATTTTATACTGACACATATTAGTATTGGCCTTTAATGGTAGATGTTGCATTTACAATTTGTTATCAGCCTGTATTATTCGACTCAGATACTTTCAATTAACTAATGGACTTAAATATGCTTCAGCCCCAACTTCTCCCACCTCTACAAATAAGTTCAATCGGGTAAAACTAACCAGAGGGGTGTGCCTAAGGCAGGGACTGTGTAGGGAGCCTGCTGTATTCATTAAACTCTACAGTTGGACTTATATGAAGTCTTACTTCTCTATTTCACCATTCAGCTACGGTTTACATTTTCTTGAATAGGATTGAAAAAAAATCAATTGTTCACCATAAAAAGCATGTAACCTACATTAGTGAAAATACAATCTGCTATGCTTTTGTAATTTCAGGCTTTTGAGGGTAAATTCCCTAACATCCCTGGATAAATCACATTGAACACACAACAATTTTTTGTTCTCTGCAGGTTTCTAAGTAGTGGATTACTGTATATAATTTAGTGGGAGCATTGTACATAAAGCATATGTCATACATTATTGCAGTAGTACATCCGAGTTTTATCAGGGCAATAGTAAATTAAAATTGATGAGAAAAAAAAGGTGGAGCTTAGCATTAGCTCAGGGCACCCAAAACTGCTGATGCAAACACATTACACACATTGAATATTTCTGATATGTGACTATACCTGGAGTAGGGGCTTCAGTCATTTTATTTTTTTACATTTATTGATATATTTCTTTTTTGTACTCCCACCTCTTTCTATTTCAAGCCTATGTATTTTTCTTGTACTCCCACATCTTCCTGTTTCCATCATGTGTTAAAACTGTTAAAACTTTCAAATAAAGCAAAATATATGAGCAGTGGATTGAAACCTCGTTGGTAAAGGGGGTTGGAAAGCTGGTCACTTGTGTTGCACATGAATTTGATTTTACAATTACTTTTATATTTATCAACAACTATGTAATGCAAGGGCCTACTTTGAAATTTTGATCATCTTGGGTATACTTATTTAAAGTGTACCCAATCAGGTAGGCACCCACACAATATAGGGTTGGGCTTGGACCCTTAGATCCAGTGAAGAAAACTCTTAAGATGCCAGCAGACCAAGACATTTTGGACAATTTCATGCTCCCAACTTTGTGGGAACAGTTTGGGGATGGCCACTTCTTGTTCCAACATGACTGCACACCAGTGCACAAAGCAAGGTCCACGAATACATGGATGAGCGAGTTTGGGGTGGAGGAACTTGACTGGCCTGCTCATAGTCCTGACCTCAACACCTTTGGAATGAATTAGAGCTGTTATAGCTGCAAAGGGTGGGCCAACTCAATATTGAACCTTATGGACTAAGACTGGGATGCCATTAAAGTTCATGTGTGTGTAAAGGCAGGCGTCCCTATACTTTTGGCAATATAGTGTACATACACTATATGTACACATGTAAAATGCATGTCCTCAAATCAAGGATTTCTTTCCTCATAGAATAGGTGTAGGTGCTCCCCCCATCTGACTCACCCCTTGTCTGCACCCCCTACCCAATTCTGAATATCATCCCTTGGTTCCACAACCTACCCACCTCCCAGTACCACCCTCTTTTAGAGAATACAGAATCAATTTGTATGGAATTGGCTAATGATAACAAGAAAGGCTGTAACATAGATTCCCTGCAGCCAGCAACAACAGACCTTCCCAGCAACAATAGACTCTCCAAGCAACAATAGATTCTACCCGGAAAATTAGATTCACATTAGATTCATCCCAGCATTAGATTCACATTAGATTCATCCTAGCAACCTTAGATCCCCCAGGAACAATAGATCCACCCCTAGCAACAGTAGATCCACATAAACACTAGATTCCCCCATCAACAATAGATCCCCCATTAACAATAGATCCACCCCACCAACAATAGGCCCACACCAGCAACAATAGATCCCCCAGCAACCAACAGTAATAGACCCTTCAGCACTTCCCAGCAGCCATTGCCATTACATGCATTC